AGATTGACCCACTAAAATTATGTTAAGAGCTGTGTTTATATACATCTATGTTCAGACTCAATAAATGCATAATAGCTTTATTAAACCTAACAGAAACAATGTACCATATTCTTAGGGGCCTGTAAATACCGCCAATTATATGAACTCCCTATCTACCTGCACACTGAGAGATACATCTTTATTATAGTTCTAAACAGTCTCAAATAGACAACCAGGTACTTAGGTGACCCATCTGTTACTGCAACTGTTTGCCCTGGCGGCTTGGTTGAGTTTGGGCTGAAAGTCTGAATGCTTTCTTGTTAATATAGACCCATATATTAGCTGTTAATGGCTGGAGTGGAGCTGTTCTGCTCCACTACTTCCTCCCACAACCTGCCCTCGATTCTGTTCTGTGGAAGACAAGCAATCTAGCACCTGGTTCTTTCATGGTAATGCCATTCACGACTATTCTCCCCCTTTCCTTTACCCCATTGAGGGAATCATCAAACCACCTGTGGCAACCAGAGTCTAGCCTCTTTGTGGTGCAAAAGGCCCATAACTAGAGTCTTGCACAGATACAAATTTGGCATCTGCATCTGCAAAAATGAATCACAGATACTCACATGCACATCTGTGGATGCAGATACCCACATCAGTGGATGCAAATCCACAGCAGATATCTGTGGATTTGCAGGGCTCTATGCACACCTGGAACAAAAAAAATCTGTCCCTTACAGTGCAAACACCTTGGGACTTTAGCTATACAATTCCACATACTATGTGTGGAATCCTACAGTAATAAGTTATAATATACATTATATGAGCAAAGAGTTTATTATTCAGGTGAAGTTATTGTACATTTTAAATGGGAATCTGAAATGCAGTCTGTGTCAGCCCCCTTATCCATACAAAAGCCTTGGAAGAGAGGATTATAATAGTTTACACTGCCATCATCCCCTTCTTTAGGCTTATGGAGATGTGAAAAGGCTTTTTGATAAATCATGAATTGCCCAACTCATGCTCCACTCTGAGTCCAGTCTTTGCTGACACCATCCATATTCTATATATGGATGTCAGTTTGGCAGGCTTGGGAGCAGTCCTATGCCAGCAAGCTAAAGGCAGACATAAAACCCGTTGCCTTTGCCAGCTGAGGATCGTCTGATAGTGGGACTTGTGTCCCCATTCACAAGCTAGAGTTCTTGGTCTTGAAATGGGCCGTCATTGAGAAGTTTCAAGCTGCTTGTATAGTGCTCAGTTTCAATTAGCTGTGCCAAACTGGATGTTACAGGGCAGGATGGGTGGGCACCATGGACAGCTACTAACTAATACACTGTCCTTTATGGGGAGAAGCAATGTAGATGTGGCACATAGTGCCAGCATCCCCAGGCATTGGAAATGTCTGTGGTTCCTAGAGACCGGTCTATTTGCAGTGTGAGTCAAGAGTCAGAGGCACAGGAAAATCTTCACAGCTGTGATTCAGGAAGTCTAGTCCTGCAAGTGTGCCAGTAGCCTTAGTGAAACTTATCTCTGTTGGACTGACCTCCATTGCTTAGGCTCAATGCTGCTGACTGGCAAGGAGCTAGCCACAAGATAAAATATTCATGATGCACTGCTTGCTAACAAAGAGGAATAACATCCAGCTGCAGTTATTATATTTACCCTTCCCCCGCCTCCCAGAGGATAAACTGCTGTTGGGAGAATGGAGCAAACTAAAAATGCACCAAATCACAGCAGCTCCTTTACAAAAATCAAACGCAATTAGTGCTATCAAAAAACACAGAGTCCAGACCATGAAGGCATTGCATGATGATTTTGGCTATTTGGGAACAGAGAATCCTGGAACTTATTCATAGTCCCAGACGATGAAAGTTAGGGGTTCATAGGGGTGAAGAGTCATGTGCCCTCCGGACACAAGGGAGCAGTAGCTGGCAGACCTGACCCCTGCTGCTAATCCCTAGGGCTGTGTCACTCAGGTCAAAGGTCCTGTGGGAAGGGGTAGAGTGGGGCAGAGCAGAGGTGGAGGCTTGGGGAAAGGGATGGAGTGATTGCAGGGTGGAGGCAGAGCCTAGTGGGAAGGTAAATTGTCCCAGGTTTCACACCCTGGCATAGGGAGGAGTCACAGGGGGGGCAATCACATGTCCAGTGGCCCCCTTGTGTTCCTCCCCAGCAGTTGCCAATGGGTCCTCGGCTCACTAGAGTTGTGTATCTGGAGAATATTGCCAGCAGCAAACCTTTAGCTCTCATATGCGTTCATTTTGTGTCTTTAGAAGTGGACAGAAGGAATGCTAGGCACATTTTACTAGTGACTGACTATTTTACATGGTATGCGTATGCATATCATATGCATGACCAGAAGGCCTCCACTGTCTCTGGAGTGTTGTGGGAGAAATAGTTTTCAGCATGTGAATTCTCAGCTCAGATACACTCTGACCAGTGATGGGACTTTGAAAGTCACCTTCTGAAAGAGGTGCTGAGGATGGCAGGAACAAAAAGGTCCAGGATAACCCTTTATCACCCACACGATAATGCTCAGTCAGAGTGGTTTAATCTCACGCCTTAATATGCTGGGGACTTTACATTCAGAGCAGAAGACAGCTTGAAGTTACTGCCTTGCATTTTTTGTGCATGCTTACAATGCCACAAAGAATGATGCTGCCAGAGTTACACCATATCTCCTGCTGTTTGGATGAGAACCCAGATTACCTACAGATTTGTCAGTGGTTCCCATACTTTTTAATACCATGGACGGGCAAACCTGTTCACAAATTTTTGGTGGACCGGTAACATTTTAGTTGCATATTTGCATATTCATGATGCAAACGATGAATATGCATATAAAACATTACTAGTCCACCAAAGGCCCAGCCCCCAGAGCCAGCCCTAACCCTTAGACCCCCACCCAGTGTTCCCTCTAAGATGCGGGGCAGCACAGCTTCACAAGTGATTAATCAGCCTCATCCAGTCAGAGGCTAAGGGCTCCATGCACAGAGCTGACTGACTGGGCAGGGCTGATTAATTACCTGTGAAGCTGTGCTGACACATAGCTTAGAGGGAACACTGTCTCCACCCCTCCACTACCCACTAGTGCCAGCCACTGACCCCAGAGCCTCTGCACCTAACTTCCTCAGTAACAGCCTCCCATCCTCAGAACCTCCCAGTGCCAGCCTCCCATCCCAAATGCCTCAGTGCCAAACCCCCTGTCCCTTAGAGCCCCCCTATCAGCCTCCTGTTTCCAGAGCTCCACTACAGCCAACCCCCCAGATATTCCTCCAGTGCCAGCCTCCAGTATTATCACCAGAGTCTCCCCAGTGCCAACCCTACCCCCATAATCCCCTCCACCACTACTAGCTCAGCCTCTAGAGGCCCCAGTGCCTTCCCTGCCCCCCTCACCTAGCCCTAGGCTGCTGCCCACGTGGCGGCGGCTATGCGCCCCTCCCCTCCTGCCACAGCTGTTGGGAGAGGCATGCTCTGCCCTGCTTCTCAGCCAACCAGCGCTGGGCAGAGGCGGGGTCTCCTCCTGGCCATTGAAGAGCAGTTCACAGCATGGTGGGCCACACAGAGCTCCTCCACACAACCCTCCTGCCGCATAGATGAGGATTGTAGGCAAAGGGAAATGAAGCGGCGATTTAAATAATCACCGCTTCATTTAAATTTATATGGCAGCGCACTAGTCTGGACGCTCCTCTGCCGACATCAAAGCCCTTTGTTGGCAGCTCTGTTATTCCTCGTGGGATGATGTTTACCGGGGCTGCCAACAAAGGGCTTTGATGTCGGCACGGGAGCATCCAGACTAGCGCGCTGAGCCGACACACAGCTGATCAGCTGTTTGTCGGCTCAGCGCGGCAGCCATGTAAATTTAAATGAAGCCGTGATAATTTAAATCGAGGCTTCATTTGCCTTTGCCTATCTGTCTAATCTACATGGCTCCATTGATAGAGCCATGTAGTCTAGACACAGCCATAGAGACCAATGTACCCCAGCCCTGGTCCCTAGAGCTGCCGCGTCCCAGCAGCAAGAGGTCCATGGCCTCTGCCTGGAGGTCAGGAACCACTGGACTTTTGCTTGGGTGTATCAGAGGATGGAGACAGCTACAAGATACATCAGCAAGATGTCTTCTGATTAAGAAAAAAGATGTGGAATGCTTATCATTTAGCTATGACTACATCCTTCTGGAACTCTGATAGTAACAAGCACCAGTATAAACTCAGGTTTGTTCAGCACCTGACAGAAGGTTTACGCTATGAGTGAGATACACAAGGACAAAGGCTCCAAGAAGCATAAGTTACTTTTGTAAATCATTTCTAACTCATGATCAGTACTTGAGCTATACGTTAGTTTTTAACGAAGGCTGACGGACTTCTGAATGGCTTAAGCACCTCAGCAGGCATATGGAAATGTTTCTGGGAGCTACAAGATTATTAATATTTTATTAATATTACCTTGACTTTTATATTCACGTAGACTCTGTGCTTCAGTAATAGGTTACATGGACATGATTGTCCTCTGCATTGGATTTTTTATCAAAATGAAATTCAAGCCACGTGTGAACGTCATTAGTAACCAGTTATATCGTATTGGTCCCCAAAAGGCCTCATCCAGCCCATCGTCCCATAGTTCTAGGTGCAGTACAAAAGCAGAGGGAGACAAGGTTGTGGCCCCATGACATATACCATATTGATCAATGTTTGTGCTTAGACCAAAGCACCTTAAGGAGGAATTTGGGGGTGGGAGGCTGCGGCAGTCATGCTTTGGCAAATATGGGTAAGGAGAACAAGGGAAGGTTGGGAATCTGTTTTTTAAAAGGAAATTGGGTTTCTGAATAAGCCAAAATTATGAATAGCGCCAGCTTTCTGGGGAACATTTCATTGGTTTGTTGGGAGAAGACACCCAGTCACCCCTAAACCAAAAAGGTTGTGGGTTTTGGATGAAAATGGAAAGTCTTTTATTTAGAAATGACACCTGAGTGCCTCATAAGTGTTATAGTACCAACGACTTATGCCTCTCTTCTCTTTACTGAACAGGCTTCCCAGCCAGAGTACATCTCCTGTGAAAGCATTCCTGATAGAATGACACCCAAGAACGCGTTCTCTGCAGCTATCCATTTTCTTCACAAAAAAGCTAACAAAGCAAATCTCTGCTTTAACTGCCTTAAAATCATCATTTCTGAAATACACAACAAGGGCAGGAGATTTCCAGAAGTGTTTTTTGAAACCTTAGGACATCACTAATATACAAAGTGTTGGTCTTTCAAATGGCTAGACACGAACAAAGGACAATAATTTTACACATACAGGAACTTTTCATCTAAAAGAATCATAAAATACTGTGCAAACTTTACCCACATGAGTGCAGCTACTTTCTAAGGCAAATGCTAACGTGTAGCCCTTGTTAGTTACTCACATGGGACTTGTGAGTCACCATCAATGCAGACATTGTAGTGCAGACATACAAGTAGGGATCAAGCACTTTTAGCACCATGTCAGCAGAGCACTTTTACACCAGTGTTTCCATAATTGTTACCCCCAGATGGTTGCATCAGTGGATGGATTAGAGGAAGTTGTGATAGGGTGCTCTACTCATTGCTGGATACTGACCATTTTGGAGATTAGCTCTGCATGGCCGACACCCTTTCCTGCAGTTGCACTCTGCTATGCTGTTTCTGTCACCATCTGTGGCCCCTCTCTTGCTCCAGCAGCCGCTGCCTCTACTCATGCCTCAGTCCTTCAGCCAGTCAGTCGGCATGTATCCCCCTTCTGGGGTACCAAGGCCTTTCTTCATGAGTGGTCTGAGGCAGTCCTCTCTAGCATTGCCCTGATGGTGCTGCTTCTCTAGTGGCTGGTAGGGGCACTGGGCCTGACCATTACTCTGGGTTCCAGGCCAGGGACTCTGTATTCAGCAACTATAGATTCACTCCAGGCCCTGTTGCTCCTTTCCTGAACTCCCTACACCTTCTTTGTGTCCCACCTCAAAGCTCCTCCTCAGTAACTGTGGACTACTGGGCTGCGTCTAGATTGGCATGATTTTCCGGAAATGCTTTCAACGGAAAAGTTTTCTGCTAAAAGCATTTTCGGAAAAGAGCGTCTATATTGGCACGGACGATTTTCCGCAAAAGCACTTTTTGCGGAAAAGCGTCCATGGCAATCTAGATGCACTTTTCCGCAAAAAAGCCCCGATCGCCATTTTTGCAGAAAACAAATCTGAGCTGTCTACACTGGCCCTTTTGTGCAAAAGCTTTGCGCAAAAGGGACTTTTGCCTGAACGGGAGCAGCATAGTATTTCCACAAGAAGCACTGATTTCTTACAGTAGGAAGTCAGTGCTTTTGCGGAAATTCAAGTGGCCAGTGTATTTTCCAGAAAAGCGGCTGATTTTCCGGAAAAACTGACCAGTCTAGACACAGCCCTGGAGTCTCAAACAGATCTTCCTCTTCCCAAGAAGTGACTACAGCCTACTTCCCTGCAGCCCCTACCCTCTTGCCAGCATCCTGGCTCTATAAGCCCCACCCATCTCATCCTCTAGATGGACTTTGTCAGCAAATTAAACTTCAGCACTTCTTGTCTTGCCTTCAGGTGACTTAATTCACACCCCAGGCCTTGTGTGAGGGAGACACCCCATTACACTGGTGTACATGCACACAACACAACAGGATTAGGCCAGGAAGTATATCAAATTGAAGCAGATATCATAAACTAGCATAATTCAACTTTCAACAAAGCTATACTAGGCTATGTCTACAGTGCAGGCTTTTTGTGCAAGAACAGCTTGCAGGGTAGATGTAGCCATAAGGATCTGGCCCATATTCTGCAGCAGCAGTTTCCCTTAACATTATGCTGAGCATCCATTCAACCCTGACCCAGCATGAAGAATGCCTCCTACTTTTCACCAACACAACATACTGCAGCCACCTGACTTTCCAGAAGGCTGAGGAAAAGTATCCCATTCAGTTTCAGACAGAGAGCTCACAAAAATCACAACTCAAGGAACCAGCTGTGAGCGAGCAGATTCAACAACATACTGATGGAATTTCACCCGCTCCCCATCCTTTTATCATTTTAAGGGCTGGATTATTCAGATGCAAGTTCAAAATTGAGGATTTTAATAACGTTCTAAAAATAAAAATGTGAATAATAAAAAGGATCCAAAGCACATGCTGCCACTCAGTAAGTGAAAAGTGAGCTAGTTAAAATCATTCTACAGCAATCCTGTGATAATATCACCCTGTCACAGGAAAGGGAACAGGCATCTTTCATCAAGCAGTCCAGCTCTTATTCAATTTTAAATGAATTACCAGGCCCGGAAAGTGATTAACTTGTATGTATTCCAGCCTTTGGAGGATAAAGCTCTGGTCCCCATGTGAGTTTTCCTCTCTCTCATTGTGGACAGATGCAATACCAGCTAAGGAGATGGCCCTACATGATTTGAGATGAAGCATTCCAATGTTATCACCGTCAATGTCCATTGATGGAACAAGAGCACATTGTCATTTCTAACTAATCACTTTCCTTTGCCAGGTAACTCCTTGTTGCAAGACCATGGTCTACTGTAATGTACTGGAGTGTTGTTCCTCCACTGAAATTGTTTTAGTGACAAGGCAACTGCAAAAGAAATAAGCAGTTTTACTGTTCTGCACTGATAAAGAGCAATAGCAAAAGCATATCCATTCCAACTGATTGGTAGAATTATATACATTTCTACTAGGCCACACTGACTAAAACTCATTATCTTAAACAATTAGGAAACGAGCAGGGATAATATTAGAAACACATTTTGAATTTGGTCATGTTACCAACTTGAAAATGACATCAAGTGTTTTTCCATAGCATTTTTCTTACCCTGTTACTTTCAATTATTTCTTTCCCAAACTTAGTCCTTCATCTTGAAAAGCTTGATACTTGTGAATAATATGCCCATGACAAATTAATGCAAAAAACCCTTTGTACCAACCAATTCAATCATGTATTCTGTGTATACCACTTGTTTTGGCAGAGAAATGTTCAAGGAATGTCTTAGAAGAGTTTATTGGTGCCACTGCTATCAAGGCAGATTTCTTTATGACTGTAGCCCTAGCTGTACAAGACTCAGGAAGTGAATATTGCACCAAGGAGATGGACAATGGACATAGATTGACATCTGGATATTTCCACAGTGGCCTAGAGAAAAAGGAGATGATATAAAGCTGCCATAACTGACTCCTGCACCATCACACTCCTGCCCTGCAATAGGGGTGAGTTGGATAGGGCATAACTAGAGAACAGCTAGATGCTCTGGCAGTTCTGAGTTGGTATGACTCTCCCTTGGAGACTGTAACCAGGTGGTAGGAGTTTCATCAGCAGCATGGTCTGCTTTAACTTACACTGAAGATTGGGATGGAGTGGCAGATGCAGAGAATCAAGGATCTGTAATTGGCTCTAGTGAAAACCCCACGGCTACGTCTAGACTGGCATGATTTTCCGGAAATGCTTTTAACGGAAAAATTTTCCGTTAAAAGCATTTTCGGAAAAGAGCGTCTAGATTGGCACGGATGCTTTTCCGCAAAAGCACTTTTTGCGGAAAAGCGTCCATGGCCAACCTAGACGTGCTTTTGTGCAAAAAAGCCCCGATCGACATTTTCGCAATCGGGGCTTTTTTGCGCAAAACAAATCTGAGCTGTCTACACTGGCCCTTTTGCACAAAAGGGACTTTTGCCCGAATGGGAGCAGCATTTCTTACAGTAGGAAGTCAGTGCTTTTGCGGAAATTCAAGCAGCCAGTGTAGACAGCTGGCAAGTTTTTCCGGAAAAGCGGCTGATTTTCCGGAAAAACTGGCCAGTCTAGACACAGCCCACCAGTTCTTAGGTCACAATAACTTTAAAAAGAGCATAGCAGAAATTCTACAATTCCTTTTTCTCCTCCACAGTCTCAAACCAGCAACCATTTCAGAAGCTGTAGGAGAGAGTCTTTCGTCCTATTGATAGCCATCAAGAGTTGCAATGAAAATAATCTTTGTGATAGAGAGGGAAAGCACAGGAGAACTGTGTTGTTTTACAGTTTCTGATACTAACTTGTTGTGTGGCCTTGGGCAAATCTTTTCTCCTCTCTGTACCTCTGTCTCCCTCCTATAACCTTGTCTGTCCTGTCTATTTAGTCTGTAAGCTCTTTGAGCAATAAGTCTGCCTCTTACATTGTGGCTGTGCAGTGCCTAACACAGTGGAGTCCAAAGACAGCATTTGTATAACAACATTTTGCATCAGTTTTTTATCAGTTAAAAAACAAACAAAACTAAACTTGATTCACTGATATTAGGTTTTTAACAATAGTCCCACATGTGTTTATTTTTAGAAACTCTGGATCTAAGAAAAGAAGGTGTTTGGAGAAGTCTTTGAATTTACTCATTTGGAGTTATTCAATCTTGTTTTTAAATCCCCCAAACACACACACAATCATTTAAAGAAAAAAGATGAGAGGAATAAAATAAAACTGTGCGAGTGAAACCAAACCACTTGCATTTCCTAGAAACAATGTTTGAATTCAAATGTGTTCCGTGAAAAGGGCTGGAAGGGAGAGAGGGACGGAGAGGGAGGGGGAAGAAGGAACTAAAAAAAAGTCAGGTTGTGTTCTTTTTTTTTAATAAGGCACTCCAGCCAAGATGCTAAGAATAGATGTAGTTCAGCGTGTGCTAAAAATAGTACGTTTCGGTGACAAAATCCTGTCATGGAACAAACTCAGACTCATGTTAGTCAGCTGTGACCAAAACACATGCCACAAGAATTTAAACAAAAGAATGATTAAATGAAATGATCAAACGATGAGTCATCAAAGCATAAAAATGGTGACGTTCAGATTACAGCACTAAAGAAATCCAGCCAGGCTGCTCACTCATGAAATAATAAGACAAGGAAGCAGCTTTAAATCTAACTCTTGCTAGTGCTAATGCTGCTGGAACATCAGAGCCCTTTGCAAGGGGCTACTCAAGCCCTGTTAGTCTCACTCTATCATTTAGAAACTTTGATTTCACTGCTGTTTTCTTTCTATATTTATGGATTGGGGGGGAGAGGCAGACTTGAAAGCTTGAAGTATTTATGTCTGTGGATCCAATAAAGTTATTGGCTTTATTTGGGAGCAAATCTAATTTGGAGTAGAGTGGGAGAGAAGAGAAAGAATTTGAGAGATTTCTTCACTGACTTGTTCTGCCATTTAAACCTGTAAATTCTCCTGACCATTTCACTGTTCCTATTTTCAATAATGCTATTTGCATAAAATATCCAAGAGCAGTCAGAAGACCCAGTGTTGGATTTGGATCCACTCAACTGGACTCCTGCACCTATGCAGAGCACCCTTGAAGTGTGAATAGCTGCCTCCTTAAATTCCTCTGCTTTGGTGCTTCTGCTC